CTGGGCTTTTATTTCTAGGATATTTGGCAGAGCCATCCATTAAGGGCTACTTTTTATGTAATCCTGTTTAATTCCCCCCATGCTTCTATGGACTGCACAGACCTGCATAATTGTATCCAGTGAAGACACTTGCAAGCATGAATAGATCAGGGCATGGACAGGATAGATGCCTTCTAATCTTTTACCAGAGTTTGTGCTTAACATTCTCTAGTTTCTATGGAGTGTCATTGTCACACTACTGTGTGTATCCAAGATGAGCAGTTTAAGTTTTTTTCAAAAAAGTGAAAGAATGTGGTAAGTACAGAAAACTCAGTAGTGTATGTGGAACCTAGATTAGAGTCAGACTCCTTGACCTTGTCCCTTTGAGGCTTTGGGCACAGTCTCGCACCAGTATGCTACCTCATTTAGGGATGGCTGGTCTTACCATGTTTGTCATTGTGATTGGGCATGGCTATTTCCACCCACTCAGCTTATTTGATTTCTAAGTTAACGTATATAGAGGTGACAGTCACACAGGTCCTCTATGGACTAGATGGCCAGGATCTGGTCCTCCACTGAGAGTGCATGAGGAAGCCCTATCTTACCACAGGACGGGACTTATACTGCAGGCTCCCCACCTCAACATTAGCTACTGCTCCAAGGACAGGTGGTCTCTCACTGAGGACACCATCTTTGCAAACGCGTGACTTTTCACCCTGTCCAACAGTGTCTGCTGTTCCTCTGTCGTATTTTGGCACTTAGGAACCATCCCAGGCACTTGAGCAGCTCAACTGCTACCCTGATCTGGGTGGGCTGGTTGGCCACAGGAGATAGACTCAGCTGCTGGTTGAGGATGGGCACTTACAGCAAGTGAGCTTTGCATAAGCAGTGTCATGGTCCTGGAGCTTTCTGTTAGAAAATCCCCACCTTTTGTCTGTTTCTTTACAGTAACAAATGGCAGAGCCCTCTCCTCCAGCCCCTCTGGATTCCAAAATAATTAAATTTTGAAGGAAAAAGAAACCCCAAAATTAATAGGAGAAAACTTTCTTATTCACAGTTTAACTTATGGAGGAGCACTGCTTACCAGCTTGCTCCATTGTGGCGGCTCCCTGTGACTTGCTCGGCCTTTCTTATACCATTCAGGACTAGCTGCCCAGCAGTGGCATCACCCACAGTGAGCTGGCCCTTCTCCGTAATATGGACAGTCTGTTCTGTTTTGTTTTGTTTGTTTTTTCAGCTGAGGTTCGTCTTTCCAGATGATCCTAGTGTCAAGTTGACAAAAAAATTTCAACCAGGATGCCACTACCCTGTAACACCTTTCCCTTAAACCCCATCCTGCCTGTTTGTTTCCAAGGACTTGGGGGCAGCTTTCTAGTTCAGAGCTGTACCCAGAGAAGCTTCTGATGTGGTAACTCTAAGTAAAAGAGCATAGATTTACCTGGCTTCATCCTTCCTAACGCTGTGGCTCTTTAATACAGTTCCTCATTGTTATGTTGACCCCCAACCATAAAATTATTTCTGTGCTATTTCATAACTGTGGTTTTGCTACTGTTATGAATTGATATCTGATATGCAGGATATCTAATATATGATCCTCAAGGATTGAGAGCCACTAGAAGCTCAGTGCCCTCCAGTGTGACCAAGGTCAGCAGGATTTTTCCAGCCTAGCTGAGCTAATTCTCTTCCCATTGTCAGTTGGGGTAAAAATACTGTTTGCTCAAAGAGAAAGCTATTTACAGCGTTTTTGTTTATCTGCTGTCTGTAGCTTATCACTTAGTCTGTGGCTTATCACTTGAGTAGCATTTAATGTTCCCTTCCTTATCCTTTTCTTTTAATCCTTTATCCTAAAAGTAATGAATATGGAAATGTTGACTGAACTTGCCCTAGATGGCTCAGATTTAGAAAAGGTTTATGAGGCTTAATTACCAACACTGGGAAAATGTCTTTGTTTAGCCAAGAATAATAGGATTCTATGACGTCGCTGTCAGCTTTCTAAAGTAATCTATTTTGTTCCACTAACATTTGTTTAATAATTGAACATAGAAAAATGAAGACATACCTAGTGTCTTGACCTTTAGAGAGAAAGTTAAACATGAAATTTGTCTTCAAGACAAGAAGTCACCTTAGATTAAATTGATCGGCAGTCTGACTTTCCAGGGCTGAGGGGATGAGCAGCAGAGAACTGAATGCCCATTCTCTTTGTTGGGCTCCATGATGGCTCTAAGATGGGCATGATGGACATGGTGGGCTAACACTGAGACTAGAGAAGATGATCAGCCTTCCCAAGAACACCTAGCTAGCGATGGGTTGAGAGGCCATACTCCTCCCAGTTTCCAGACTCATGCTCTCTGCACTCACCTGTCTCTGTGAAATGAAAAACGTGTCTCACTGTGACATGTGTCCTTCAGCAGTACTCATGTTGAACAGAGAATTGACAGCTGTTTTCTTTTTCACCTGTAAAATCCTATGCATATTTTGCATGTCATGCTATAACTAAGGCTTCTGCTTTCCTTTGCTGTAGGTTTTCTACCCTAGCAAAGATGGCACTAAGATTCCAATGTTTATTGTACATAAAAAAGGCATAAAGTTGGATGGCTCACATCCTGCTTTCTTGTATGGTTATGGTGGCTTCAACATCTCCATCACACCCAACTACAGGTAAGCGTGGGACACTTGGAGCACACATGGTCTTCTGCACATAGTGGGGTCTGTTAAGTCACATGATTCTTGCTTGCTTGGTGTTTCATAGAGGGGCAGAACTTCAAGATAGCTTCTTGAATTTTTGCTTAGGAGCCGTAGGGCCTTTACAAGCGAGCCATTATTATTGTTGTTGTTATTTGATGCTTTCAATAGGAAAAATTATTCAAGTAGCTGTGGAGTCTACCATCACTTGAGATCTTAAGACACACCTGTCCTCAGGGTGTACCAAGGTGACTAGCATGTCACTCTCCTTTGCAGCTCTTTAGAGAAATGCCTTCTATATAATGATACAATTGTGTTAGTATTTCACCAAAAATACATTTTATGAGTACTCTAATGGCTCATCTATTTTAAACTATTCTATGATTGTTTCTCAGATAATGAATGCTTATTATCTACATATGTCCATTGCTGTTATTTGTTAGTTTTTTTGCAACTTCAGTATTCCATTCTTAGTATGAAATGGAATTTGCATTGAGTGTTTTTAATAAAAGGAGTTGGCACTTGCATCAGCAGTGTGAATAGTGCCCCATTTGACATCTGGCTCCCAGACTCACCAGGATTCTTTCTGTTTGTGAGGAGACTTGTGGACTAATGATGACTGGGACATGCTAATTCATCCCCATCAGCCAGCCATCCTAAACCTGACTACACAGAAGTTGTCGCCTTGCTTTGAACATTCAGTAACTACAACCGCTCATTAGTTTAGATTTAATGAGTTTGCAAGATGGCCTGTGCCCTCAGAACCTTTTAAGTGAGACTGGACTAGACTGAGGAGTTGGTTGTTTGCTTTGGTTGGCAGAACAAGAGAGCTCTTGTGTAAAATCGTGATGCAGAGCAACATTCATGATGTGAACTCTAGTGGAGTGTCACAGGGTGGTACTCTTGAGGGGCACAGCTGAAGTCAGGCTGAAAGGTAGCCGTCTCGCAGCATGGGACCCTTCTCTGGGCTGCCATCTCCCATCTCAGCCATGTCTTAGTGGTCCAGTCACAGGACGTGTTGATTCTGAGGCAGTTATGTGGAAACTCAAGCTAGTCAGTGTCTGTTAGATTAACCTAAAAAATGTTTGCCACTTTTATATACAGTTTCCAGTGAGAGTGCCAGTGATGGTGACACATGATTCATCAGGGAATACCAGGACACATGTACTCTGTTCCACACTCTCTTCATCCCAGTGTTCCCCTGGTGGGTCTACCATGCCTAAAGCTATCAATCTATCTGTACAGTGAGTTCTTTTTAGACCTCTAGGCTAGGGATCAAGAGAGACCCATCAGAGATGCCTGAAAATGTACAGGACCAAACCTTCAAGTCATTTTGGCTAATTGGCCACAGTTGAGTCTAATTGTATCTACTTTAGTCCAACTCCCTTTCCTCTTCCTAGTGATCCCACCCTCTCATAAAAGGAAGGGTGGCATCAGAAATACAGTTCAAGGCAAAATAATTTTAACAGAAAGGTATCACTGCACACTTTTAGAATCAGAGGAAAAATAAAAAGGAAACCAAACCCAGGATTTCCAAACAGCATAGTTTTTTTGGTTTTTTTTTTGTTTGTTTGTTTGTTTGTTTGTTTGTTTGTTTGTTTTTCCTGGACAACATCCAGCCTCAAGGCTTGGGCCTCTCCAGTTTTGTGTGATCTCTTGTCCTTGCACATCCAGTATTGTCTAGTGACCATCTAAATTTCCTTAGATGTGGAGAGGTGCACTTAAAGTCCTTGAGAGGACGAGCAGTTTAGACATGGTGTTCCCTGTTGCTAGGTCTGATGCCAGGAGAGACTGGGAGTCCAGTACCACTCCTGCCTAGCCCAATGCTTCTGCTGATATGATAGTCACTCCAAAGCTATATCCGTGGGAAATGGGAGCCTCTGGTTTTTTCTTTATAATGTCTGCATTATGAATTGCACAGTGGATAATTTACCAGTGCAGAAAGGTGAAACATGCTGTTTATGAACATGTATGAACTTTTACAGGCAAACAGTAACCAGAAGTTACACATTTTTCACTTTAACCAAGTAATATAAAAATACTGGGCTTCTGTTTGGATGCTGTGCTGCATGGATCATTCGTAGGATACAGTTTTGCTTTGAGGTAGAGGGAGGAGTCTTGGTGTTTCCTGGGCAGTTGCTGGAAGATGAAACTGTCTTCACTGTTTCTCAGCGTGTCTAGGCTCATTTTTGTGAGACACATGGGCGGCGTCCTCGCAGTGGCTAACATCAGAGGCGGTGGTGAATATGGAGAGACGTGGCATAAAGGTAGGGTGTTTTCTCTGCAGAACCAAGAATCTGGGCTGACTCCAGCTCAGGTCAAGCTGATCTGCCCGTTTGAGCAGAAGCAGAGCAGTGACAGATTTTCAGCAGACACATTGCACACACCACTCCCCCAGTGAAAACAGCTCTCTTCATATGTTATTTTCCTGTGTAGTCTAGGATAATGAAGCACAGTTTTCCAGACATAATCCTCATAAGACATAATGGAATTTTTGTTGTTTTTGGCAGCACCTGAGGTGCTATAGGAGGTAGTCTGTGGAGGCTTCTGATATCTAGTTTGCCTCCTCAAGGCCTTGTTTTATCTGGCTATCTAAAAAGGTTTCAAAACAGGCCAGTTTCTGCTAAGAGAAAGAACTAGTCCTGTGGCTTTCCTGCTCTCGGCGTGTGCCCATTCTGGCTGCCAGTGTGTCCTAGCATTGTGCTGGGAAGGCTGAGTAACTTAGACGCCAGAATTTAGCCCCCCTTTTTTTCTGGTCTGTCTGTACCTGTTTACTGGCCTTATAGAGCATATGTACTAGTTCCAGCTTCATTCCTTAGAGGGCTAGGTTTGTTTTTTTGTTGATAGTCATCTATGTAAAGCCCTGTCTCTTTATTTATTCTTCTGTCTGGAGCCTCCCACACCTTTTCCAGACTTCCATGCAAGCAGAATTGTTCTTCACTTGCTGTGGTCTATTCTCTGCTGGAGGTGGAGAGCATAGACATCTCTCCCTCCAGCCTCACACTTCCCAAACTCTGCCAACATTTACAACGTGGCTGAGTGATCACCAGAGCTAGGAGTTGTCATCAGCATCTTCTCTCACTGCAGGAACATGAGCCCATTCTTCTCCACCCTTCAAAGCCTGGGGATCTGCTTTCCTACATCAGTTCAGAAACAAGAGTGAACCTATAAAAAGATTGTTCTCAGTGCCTGGTAGGTGCTGAAATGCTGCAAAGCCATGGCCTGACCATGGTGACGAGCTTGTCCTCATGAGCTCCGTGACATCACCCAAACTACCGGACCATCATAGCAGGACTGAGTGCTTCTAGCATACCCAGTTGTCACTGTATTTGAACATAGAAGTGACTATATGATTTTTACTTGATAGTAGGTGAATCTCAATAAGACTAAATAATACTCTGATATGAAAAGATGGCTGAAAAAAAAGAAAATGTATGTGTGTGTGTGTGTATACACATACATACATACATACATATACACATATCATAAATTTGACTTACATCTCAAACTCATAATCTAAGACTAGCCCCATTGACCATCTAATTTTGTGTGTAGTTATATAAACACACACATCCTGGCCATGGACCGTGACCCTGAGGCCAACTCCAGCTCCCAGATTCTCCCCCTGAGAAAGTGAACCCTGTGGTCTAATAGGGAGGATGCCTTGGCCCTGGTCTAATTCTACACTCATTCATTGATTAGACCAGCCATTGTCCAAAGTCTTGGGAGTAGGCAAGTCAGAGCTTGACTAAAACTAAATTACTTTTTGAATGCATTAGAAAGTCAATGAAGGACCAGAAGGGAAGTTTTTCCAGTTATAGTCCGGTATGCAGAACATTGATGCGTCTAATTCTCATTCTGTTCATTGAGCTTAAAATGTAATGTGCTTTTAAAAATAGACATACACACCAAATGGTATTGTTCATGGAAACTAAGTATCCTAGCTGTTCTAATTCACCGGTAATTGCTTATTAAAATCTTAATAACATTTGTTTTGATGTGAAAAAATTCTTTCAGTAGCACTGCTTCATGTTTAATTGAATTTCTGCACAAGTGGTTAATCTTGAATATCTGATTAGATCTGGGTCTGCGCTTTGTTCATTCTGAGGCAGTTACTTCAGACATCTGCTGCTTTGGGGTTTCACTTCTACCCTCCTGCTGAGTGATTTCTTTGGCTATGTACATCGGAGGAGGCTATTTCCAGGTGATAGGAGGTGATGCTCTGATGAGTCCCTGGGGAGACATGTAACAGTCAGAAGTTTCCAGTGTGCTCTGCTACAGCATCACCTAATCCCAGCTTTCCCATTAAATTAGTGGCTGATCACAGCTGGGCTGTCTCTCAAACACACACACACACACACACACACACACACACACACACACCCGCAGAAGAAGGGTGAGTTCTCCAGGGCAGGAAGCATGTGCAACCCTTGCCACCAGCAATGCTGGTGTGCACTAGTTGGAGCCCAGAAGGCTGGTAGTCTATTTCTCACTCAGACTCTTAGGGCAATGATTGTTCTTATGTCCTCTTTCTCTCACAGAACAGATCATCTTTTTCTCTTTGGGGCTCTTGCCTTATACATAGTACAGTTTGCTGATAAAATACAAATTCACCATATGGGTTTGTAGCTGTGGTACTGCTGAGGTTTCCACAGTGCATAAAAGTTAAATTGAGGCATTTCTGTCGGTGTGTCTTAAGCAGCCATTGTTGACGTTGGTCAGCAGTGGAAGCCTCCATGTAGCTCAGGCTTGCTTTTTGCATTTTGTGCTGTTTTTCATTCTTTCACTTTGCAGGTGGGATCTTGGCCAACAAACAAAATTGCTTTGATGACTTTCAGTGTGCTGCCGAGTATCTCATCAAAGAAGGCTACACGTCTCCCAAGAGGCTTACCATCAATGGAGGCTCCAACGGGGGCCTCTTAGTGGGTGAGAGCTGCCTTCATTCACTCACTAGCTGGCCCACTCAGGATTTTTCACACATTTTACCCTGAGGATCACAGATGCGAGTAGTACAGTGAGAGGAAACCTCAGTTGCATTTGAGCCTCTGAACCATCATCATGCTGAGTAAACTCAGCCTTCCCTAACCGCTTTACTGTGTGCGAGCTAAAGCCACAGCTGGGCCCCCCTCTGCTGAACCTGACTGCCCTCAATGGTGCCACTCAGACCTAGTAAGATGGGAGCCGTGTTTCTTCAAACCTATGCTGTGAGATGCTAAATGCTATGGGCATAGAGATGGGTAAACACAAGAAACCCGTACTTTAGTTAGTAAGGGAGTGGTCAGTATGGCCACTTCACACTTGCTGAGCACCTTGTGAGGTAGATGTACTGTTACTGTCCACATCTTAAAGAACACTGAGGATGGCTAGTCCCCTCCTGCTACGTTACGGGAAATAGTGGTATCCAGTTAAACTTGGTATTTTGCTAATTCCGTGGCTAGTGAAATTTTATTTTATTCTCTCAGTAGCACTTGGCATACTCGTGGACATGTGTGTGGCAAGCTGAGTCCTCATCCAGTATGTTTAAGGTTGTTCCCTGGTACATGTGTAAACAGCACAAATACATGACAGTTTTCAGTCCTCTGTTCATGGGAGTTCAGGGTTGAATGTTACTATGCTTGAAACATGTGGAGCATGTCAAAACATGGAATTTTATGCTTATGCTTTTCCCCAATAAAGCATGTTCTTTAGCCAAATGCTTTGTGGGCTGGTATAGTAAAGTGTTTGCCTGAAATGTGTGAGGACAAGGTAAATCTCAGGCACTGCTAAATAAGTGCATAGCTAGCTCATGAATATAAAACTATAGTTGTCCAAAATTATTTGTGTAATTTTGGAAAGGATGGGGCTGAGTGAGTTGACTTCCTGATCTTCCAGAGGGTCCAAGTTGGATTCTTAGGATTCACATTGGGCAGCTCACATTGGGCAGCTCACAAATTTTATTACACCTCAAGAAATGCCAAGCATGTCTTCAGGTGTTAGGCATAAGAGATCTCTCTGCCTTCACAGAGCTTTATTTCTGTTCAGATGAGTCAGACATAAACCAAGGCCCTCAAGCTAACATGGGCTGTTCAGGTGAGAGGCGACGGAGGCTCGTGTTCTCATAGGCACCCAAGGCCAAACCAGACAGGACAGGCTTTGAATGCAGCTTCGTTCTCACTTTGCTTTGGGAAACAGGAAGGTCGGGGCCAAGAAGCTAAACAGCTGAGAGGTCTCACTGGCTTGGACCAGGCTGTAGTTCTAGAAGATAAGTAGTTAAGTAGTCAAATTCTTGATCTATTCTGAACGATAAATAAGAGGTTCAACAGAACTACAGGTGAGTCCATGGCTTGGAGGGAAAAAACATTGCAAGGAGCCCATGAAAACTGAGCTGCTTTGAGATGCAGGCATACTCATGCCAGGCTTGTGCATTCCTAAACCTCCAAGAGAACCCCGGGCGCCAAGGGAATAGCTTGGACTTGTGTACTATTTATTAGCGTGATGGAATCAGAATATGGCGTGAACTGTGTGTGGTTTTTTTTGTTTTTTGTTTTTTTTTTGTTTTTTTTTTTTTGTTTTTTGTTTTTTTTTTTTTGTTTGTTTGTTTTGTTTTTTTGCCAGAGGCAGGAATAGTCTAGGTCTTTTGACTAGCTCCTAGCCATGCAGCTTTGAAGGGCTTCCGCCAGGCCTTCTTGGCTGCTGATTAGGGGACTAGGGCACCCGTCATTCATGGCACCTGACCTTTAGCAGCAATGATTGCCATGTGTTGTGTTATCAGCTCATTATCAGCTCATTCAGTTCTTTTGCCCTATCAGTTTGGTTTTACTTACTGGAAAATAGTTCTTTGCAACTATTCAGTAGATTGTCTGTTAAAAAGCAACAACAAAACATGTAAAAAACAGGGTAGACTCTGCCAGCCTTGTTAGGCTACATTTCAACCCCTTTTTTGTGCTGAATTCCTTCTGAGACCTGAACCACTTCCTTCACACCCCCATCACCTGTGAAAGCAAGTTGACTAGGAGAAGGAAGTAAATGCTCTGTTACTAGTAAGATCCTGCCTTCTCCTTCAGCTAGTGGGAAACTCACGCCTGAATCATTTCTGAAAACTGCTTGTGTTCCAAGGATGAAACAACCAACATCCTGAAGATAAGAAGTACTGGTTCATCTAGATGTTTAATTATAAACAACTTCCCTTTTCTCTCTCTTGGTTTTTAGCTGCTTGTGCAAATCAGCGTCCAGACCTCTTCGGTTGTGTTATTGCCCAGGTTGGAGTGATGGACATGTTGAAATTCCACAAGTTTACCATTGGTCACGCCTGGACCACTGATTATGGGTGCTCAGACAGCAAACAACACTTCGAATGGCTTCTCAAGTATGTTTGTATTAATGTTTGCCTATATGCTATTCAAAATCTGATATCTTAATAGTGATCCTTGTCAACAGGATTAGCATTTGGTGTTTTTATTGCATATAATTTGCAGCAGGGTAACAGAGATGGTCGCATTCTCCTGTCTTCCCTTGGTTTTGTTTATCTGCAGTGCTGGGGATTAAATCCAGGACCTTGCACATGTTAAACAAGTACTCTGCCACAGAGACCCCAGATTTACTGTTTTCCATAAAGATTCCTGTCAAACACTAAAGTAGGTCGTGTAGACATTTCAGGTGGCAGGAGGCACCTCTGGAACCTGAGCTCCACTATGATTCATAGCCATGAAGAAATGGAGACCTCAGCTGGTAGCTGAGACTTGAATTCTGCACAGAACTGGAGGCTATAATTCTTCCCCAGTGTTAGCAGAAGTAATGACCACTCACACCTTAACAGCCTTGAGATACTGCGATTAGAGAGCTGAGCCAAGGCAGTCCACACTGCTGGTACATGAGTCTTTTGTTTGTGCTTATAGTCATTTGTTACTGCGGGAACCAGAAATTCATAGAAAATGGTATAAAACCATATGTCACTAGAGACAGTTGCCTTTCTTAAACAAGAACATCGAGCACAGTGAAACTATCTTTGTGCTCAGTATACCCATAAATATTTGAAATTAGTTGCATTAGTTTGTACACTTCTTTTATTCATAACCCTCAACAGCTTTGGTGCTAGCTGTGAATATGTGAGACATTTTCTTTTCTCTGTGGCTCTTCACATCCCACATGGAACACTTGTAGATTATTCATCAGCTGTATTAGGAAATTCCCTCAGGCTGATATACAAGAAACTCGTTTCCCATTGCAGTCTTCTAAGAAAAATCATAAATTTTGATTCAGAAAATTTTTTTAATTTGTCACTTTTGGTTTTTATAGCTAACCTCCCTCCTTAGAATTTCATCTGAAGTGTCTAATTAAATGCTTTGAAACAACTACATTTTATTCTCAAAGGGGTAAAAAGCTAACTGAATACTGTGGTTACTCACTGATGCAACTGTGCTCAAAGAAGCCATAATTTGGAGATGTGCACCTGGGGGACCAAGACCTTTAAATGTACATCAAAGACATCAAAATGCCCCCACAGCATCTTTTGCTCTCTGGGTAGTTACAAAGGGGAGAGAAGGTTCTAGAAGAATTTATGACACTCCTACTTCAAATGTCAATGTTCTGATGTTGTTCATTGAAGACGAACCCTCCTTTTACTGCAGCTAGTGTGGAAGCACAGAGCTCAGCCCTGCACATCAGCTAGAGGACCATGCAGGGCTCCTGGGTGTGTCCCTGTAGCTTACCAGGGGTTCTTCTCCCTGCAAAATCTCAGAACTTTAAGGCAGTGTTTCTCTGCTTCAGAGAACTGAGCCATGAGTGGGGTTGGTAGACTGACCCACTGCCATCTATAACATTACAGTGGGAACCTGAGCCTCAGACTGCTTGGACCTCATGTGATAAATTGAGCAGAATTTATGCTGTCTTCACACTTCACATTTTCAGTCTGTACTGACACAAAGTACTGTATCCATTCACAGTGCAGAACTGAAAAATGGGCAAAGTGTAAAGAAAAGATACCTAGATTTCCTCTCGTTAAGCTGTTGTCAGTCATCCTTTCACTCAATTCTTTTCTTCTTAAAACCCTTCTTAATCCACTCGCCAGTTAGACGTACCCTCTGCCTCGAGCATGTCCCCTCTGCTTTTTTCTCCTTTGGACAAATGCAGTATCTTACGTTAGACTGAGGACCACACCTCCTCAGTGTGCAGATTAGCAGCCACTCCCAGAGGATAAGCGTGTCCTTCCTACAGCAGCAGCACTGGCATGGGTAACATGTGTGAGAGCTGTTGAAGGACAGAGAACACTGCAGGTTCCAAGTCCTTCAGCAAGAGATAAACAGCTATGTAGATAATATAGGAACATTAAACTCAAAACAGTTCCGAAATTTCAGCAACCCCATGACTTCCTTATACAGCTGTAAGATTAACAACCCAGCTCCCCAGTTTCCAGCAGTCCTTGATAGTCATGGCCTAAATGATGGCAGCACAGGCCACTGTAGCCCTCGTGTGCTGTTCTGTGGTTGTTTGGCTGGTAAAGCTGGCGGGTCCTTATGTTCTCTGTAGTCGCTCTGCTCGGTACTGTCCTCACAGAAACATCTCTGTTTTGTAGGTACTCACCTCTGCACAACGTGAAGCTTCCAGAGGCAGATGACATCCAGTACCCTTCCATGCTTCTCCTCACTGCTGACCACGATGACCGAGTGGTCCCACTGCACTCCCTCAAGTTCATTGCCACGCTCCAGTACATCGTGGGCCGCAGCCGGAAGCAAAGCAACCCCTTACTCATCCACGTGGACACCAAGGCTGGCCACGGGGCCGGGAAACCCACGGCCAAAGTGATAGAAGAAGTTTCAGATATGTTTGCATTCATAGCACGGTGCCTGAACATCGAGTGGATTCCGTAAATGGGTTTCCAGCGCCTCCCGACAGTCACAGAAAACCTCAAGGGCTTTCACACCAAAACACCACTGGGCAGAATGCTGCCCGTGTGAGCACTGTGCCTCTGCTCACAGACAGCAACTGAGCAGAACTGCCATGGGGATTTTATCTTTTCTAGGCTTCTCCTTTGTAGCAAGCCCTTGATGTTTTGTTTCTTTATTTTCTTCCCACTCTATCAAGGCACATATTTTAAAAAGGGGGTAAAGGGGGCATGTTTGGATAAGAAACAAAATGGCACTGAACATGATGTGAATATTAGGTCCCTGGACTGAGTAAGGGTCATAGTTGGGCATATGTATATATAATGACTCAATGAAGTTGCTTCTCTAACCATAACATATATCCTTAAATAAGTGGGAGGCCTCAAGGGAGACTCCACTGCAGTGCTAATAAATACTATCTAAGAGTGGAGGCTTTAGTTTTGGTTCCTTCGCAACAAGAGGCAGCCTCAGAATGCAGATAGCTATCAGAATGAAGACTGTAATTTTTATGCAACAGGTTAGTTTCCAAACAATTAGAATATTAGTACCACCAGAAAGAGGCCGATCCATCCACCTTGTCTCACTTGGAGGGATACAGCTGTGGGAGATGTCTCCTCATCTCCACTGTTACCTGCTCAGGTTAAGCTCTGACTGGGATCTTTCAGTTGGATGCCTCTATTTTTAAAAATCTCTGGACTGGAGTTGGGTAGGTGGCTCTATGGGCACGGGTGCTTGCTCTGAAAGCCAGGAGACCTGCTGAGCTAGAATTAATAGCACCCATATAAAATGCTGGGTGAGGCTACTATGTGTGCCTGTAACTTCAGCAGTGGGGACAGCAGTAGGCAAATCCTGAACACCCAGTGGCCAACCAGGTTAGCCAAAATAGTGACTTCCTGTTTCACTGAGACAGAAAGGCAGCCATCCTCAGGCCTCCCTGTGCCTGTGCATAGATGGGCACACCTGTACACTCATGTGCTTTCCTCACACAAAGACCACATAAACACCAAAGAAACTGTGGACTGGAAAAGTACGGTTATTCACCTGGATTACAGAGTATTTGTGGAAATCAGACAAGAGTGAATTGCCCAAATAGAGTCATTTACCTAGTCTCCCCTCAAACTGGAACCTGTAGAATTTCCCATGCCCCTTCTCCCTCAGACTAGTACTTTCCAGAAGTGCAGTTACACTGTAAAGAGGAGCCATTTCCATTTGCTCTATCCTGCTCTGATAATTTTGGAGGGAACAATACAGATTCCTCAAACTTAGGCTTTGGGAAGAATATTCTGGGTGTGTTTTAACATCTCACAAAATACTGTTCCTTGTCTATCAGTTTGGGAATGCTGGTCTGGCTTATAAGAGAGGATCTTTGTGTTGCTTTATCAGATGTCATTAAAAGAGATATCTTAACTTTACACAGTTACTCACAACACCAACTGTCCCAGTGCCTGTGTCCAAATCACAAAACACATATACATACACCCTTTAAGCATCGTTGCTCTTAAGTTCTTCAAATTGTCATCAAAGATTAGATATAGCATTTTCTTTCATGTCTGCTAATACACACCAAATGCAACTCAAAAATGGGACAAGGTTTGCTTTCTCTATCCTACAACCATGATGTCTATTAACCATTTGCTTCCACAAGCACCGTGTATAGTGCAGCTGGCATTGAACATCAGACTCTGTATGAAAACAAATGCCACCAGCCTGCAGGTCACACTGAGACTGAAAGCAGCAGCTTCATCTAGAGATAGCTAACTAAAAAGTGTGACCATGGCAGAGAGAACAAGTACATTTGCTCAGGGAAGCCACAGTCCCCCTCTGCCGGGCTACATAATTGTTTGAGGGGAAGTAGCTGAGCTGTGCCCACACAGGGTGTCTTCCAGCTCTGGACAGCTGGAAGTAGGAGTATAGTGTACCAGGCCTGTGTTCAAAGCCCAACTCTCACTGAATGGTAGGGAATAAACAAAGCCGTATGTCTCTCAGTGCCTAGCCTGTGTCACTTAAGCTGATTTTCATACCTGTATTTTTGATCACACTATTCCCACACACTGAAAATTATTTTTTAATTTTTTAAGCTTTAAACATAGGAATAAAGTGGTCAGAGTGGCTCAGTGGGTTAAAAAAAAAAAAAAAAAAAAAAAAAAAAGCATATGCCACCAAGTCTGACCACCAGAGTTCTACCTCTAGGACCCACATGATAGAAAAGAGGGAACTGACTCCTGCAACTTGTCTTCTGGCTTATACTTGCACATGAAGGAAATAAACATCACCAGTCTTACATTGCCTGAGGCATGGGGTCCAACGACCTGGCCTGGAGTCTTGCTGAGCTGGCCCAAAGCATCTTATCCTTAGTAAGGTGGTACATTTATGACATTTAATGTGTTCATACACGGAATATTGTGAAGCCCTGCAGTTAATCATCAGGCGGCCACCTGCAAAGTGTGACACTTTGAAAAGGACGCTGATAGCAGTCTAAACACAGTTTGGGGGCAGTTTAGCAACCATGGGGAGCTTTCCAGGGAAGGCTACACAACTGATTCTCAGAACAGGGTGCAGGCATCCAAGGGCAATGAGAAAGCTAGGAGGTAGGGTAGGGTGAGAAAGAGGCAAGAAAACATGTCAAGATGCTCAGTCAAGAAGATTGGGGACCAAGGCTGGCGGAGCAGGGCCATATTCCAGGGCCTGTAGGTACAGAGAGAGTCCTCTCATCAAGGAGATCCTCACACAGAGGAAACAATAATGGTTCCAGTGTTTTCCCTGTCCCACTCTGCACTAACCATGGTGAGTTTGAATGTCTGTCCTCATGCAGCCCTATGAAGTATGTGCTATACCTGTACTCCATTTATTCAGGAAAGGCCCGAGGTTTCCCAGCCAGGAGGTACACGGACCCGTAACTCTAGCAGTTGGGCCTTAGGGACTGTTATAATCAGGAAGCTTCCCCTTAAAACTTAAATATTGAAATCTCAGTTCTCGAAGTGGTCAAGGCCTTTCAGTGATTGGGAATTGATGAATGGGATTGGTGCCTTTCTAAAGAAAGCCCAAGCCTCACCCACTCAATGGGCAGAGCAGCAAAGGTGCCATCTGTGGACCAGGAAGTTAGACCTCTCCACAGATCAGCTTTGTCATTACCTAGATCTTGGGCTTTTAAAACTACAAAGCTTTATTTCTGTATATGAGCCACCCAGTATGTGGTGTTTTGTTTCAATATCCCAAACAGACAAAGACAGTTGCCCTGCTTCTGTTAAGAAGTCAATATATTGGAGCTGGAGAGAGATGGCTTAGTGGTTAAGAGCTCTTTCTGCTCTTCCAGAGGACCCAGATTCAAGTCCCAGCATCCATATGGCAGCTAGCAACTATAACTCCAGTTCCAGGGCATTCTTGCACATAAAATGCAGGCAAAATAGTGCACATAAAAATAAAGTTTTTTTAAAAAAGTCAATATACAAGAAATACAATTTCAGGTCCTAAGCACTTTGAAGAGCCAAGCAGGACAGAAGTCCATGACATGCTATTTCAGTAAATTTAAAGAGGCTACATTTCAACAAAGCCTTGGACAGAATGAAGAGGCAAACTGAGCAATGATGTGAGGGTAGAGCTAGAGGCAAGAAACAACCTAGCTCCAAAAGAAGAGCAGTGAGTAAGGTTGAGTTGGGACAGACCTAAAAGAGTAGAATCAACCCAGAAGAAGCCACTGGGGTGGAAATGAGAACTGACCCCAGAGGAGCCTGAACAAAGCAAGAAGTCCACTTGGAACTTGGATCAGATGGCCCTAACACCTTGAAGGGAGTTTGGGACAAAGAGCTGCAGGAACCCACAAATAACCAGATGCTACAGCATAGAAGAACCGCAAAGACATGCTAAGTATAGAAGCCAGGCTCAAACAGCCATGGGACATACATTCCATTTAGGTGAAATAGCAGTTCAGTGGGTGCATGGGGATGGGGTAGAATAGAGTTTCACTAAAGCTCAGCCCAGGAAACTTAGGACATCACTGAATCACATGCTTCACGAGAGTGCATTTCACGCTGTGGAGATGGTACTTCAATAAAAACGTCAAACTTTGCTGGTGAAAGAAAAACAGCAAGTCTCTCTGGATCGGTGTCATCCAGGAATAGCCTGGATGTACTGCAGTGTCAGGTAAGAAAGGCAGGTGATGGAGCCGTTGGGGCAAAAGTTTGCACATCACTGTGCACTAAGAGAGATATTTTAAGCAGGGGTCCTTGTATCAGGGTTCACATCTCAGAGCAAAGCTATTCAGCTTCCTCCACTGAGATGGCTCCTTAGCCGGCAAGTCAGCCTTGCTGATCCTCTCACTGGCTCCTGCCCCACAGAGGCAGCCAGGAGGCACCAGGGCAGGGCAGGCCCACTCCTGACTAACTCCATTAAGGCTCAGTAAAGGTCCAGGCTAGTATTTTATCTGTGGAGCAGGAGGAAAATGGGTGGCCATTTTTTCTTTGTTTGTTTTTGAGATGTATTTATTTATTATGCAGTGTTCTGACTGCATGCATGTATTACTGAATGCTGGAAGATGACACCAGATCTTATTATGGATGGTTGAGAGGCACCAAGTGGTTGCTAGGAATGGAACTTAGGACCTCAGGAAGAGCAGCCAGTGCTCATAAGCTCTGAGCCATCTCTTGATCTTGGTGCCTCTATCTAACAATGCCTTGTATTACTCTAGTATCAGCACAGGGTCAAGAGCCTCCTCATGCAGACAGAGCCAGCCAGAAGTGGTGAAGAGGTATAGAGTGAATTCCCAGTGTCTTGGTCAAACCACATGCACAAGGTCAAAACACTCACATGGACATTGTCACAGCACCCACATGCAGTGACACAGCACTCCCATGCAGTGTCACAGAATTCACATGCAGGATAATGGCACTAAAATGCAGAGTCACAACAGTCACCTGCATAGTCACAGCACCCAATTACACAGTGTCACAGTTCTTAGATGCACCATGTCACAGCCCTCACACATACAGTGTCATAGCACTCACATGCACATGTGACATCACTCAAGGTGCGGTGTCACAGCACTCACATGCATATTGTCAAAGCACTCACATGCACAGTATCACAACATTCCCATGCAGTGTCTCAGCACTCACATGCACATTATCACAGCACACGCATGCATTGCCACAGCACTCACATACAGTGTCACAGTTCTCACATGCACAGTGTCACAGCACTCACACACAGTGTCACAGCACTCACATGGACAGTGTCACAGCACTCACAGTGTCACAGCACTCAATGCACCGAATGACAGCACTCATATGCACAGAGTCACAGCATTCACATTCACAGTGTCACAACACTCACATGTACAGTGTGACAGCTCTGACAATCATGTGTCACAGCACTCACATGTACAGAGAGGCAGCAGTCACACTCACAGTATCAAAGCACTTACATGCACAGGGTCATCATGGTGTCACAGTGCTCACATGCAAAGTGTCAGAGCACTCACGTACACAGTGTCACAGCAGTCACATGCACATGTCACAGTACTCACATAAGCAGTGTCCCCGTGGTCCCGTGCATTGTGTCACAGCACTAAAATGCACAGGTCAAGGTACTCACATGCCTGGTGTCACAGCACATACACACACAGTTTCACAGCACTCACATGCATAGGGTCACAGCATTCACATTTACTGTGTCACAACACTCACATGTGCAGTGTGACAGCTCTCACAATCACATGTCACAGCACTCACATTCATAGTATCACAGCACATACATGCACAGTGTCACAACACTCACTTGCACAGGTTCACAACACTCACATGCACAGGGTCACAACACTCACATGTCCAGTGTGACTACCCTCACACGCACTGTGTCACAGCACTCACATGCACACATCACAGCGCTCACATGCATAAGGTCACAGCATTCACATGAACTGTGTCACAACTCTCACATGTGCAGTGTGACCGCTGTCACAATCACATGTCACAGAACACACATGCACAGGGTCACAGCACTCACACATGCATGCTGTCACAGCAATCCCTTGCATAGTGTCACAGCACTCACATGCATAGTGTCACAGCACCCAGATACACAGTGTCATAACACACACATGTATGGTGTCACAGCACTCACAAACACAGTGTCAAAGTACTCATATGCACATGTCACAGCACTCACATGCAAAGTGTCACAGCACTCACACAGTGTCAAAGCACTCAAATGCACATGTCACAGTACACATATGTATAGTGTCACAGCTCCCACATGCTCATTGTCACAGCACTCAAATACCCATTGTTACAGCACTCACATGCACAGTGTCACAGCACTCACATGCATAGTGTCACAGTAGTCACATGCATTGTGTCAGAGTAGTCACAAGCATAGTGTCACAGTTCACAAATGTACTGTGTCACAGAACTAACAT